AAAATCTTAAAAAAAATCCTTGATGAAAGGCTCTCCTAACTTCCCTATCTATATTGTCCTAAAATCAACCTCTGTGTTTCTACATCACAAAAATTCAGGCTTGTAACACCTTCCTTCAAGTGGACACTGCAAAGATTGTTGCGGAATCTCCTACTTGGAATCTGATGAGACTGCCGGACTCTGTAGGTGGTGGTGAAATCTTCCACCCTGATTACTCACGAAGCAGAAATAACTAACTCGTGATGAACCATTCTAACTCTTCTATTTCAAGGGGAAAATGGAAAACTAGTTTAACAGTGAGCATTTACAGCCACCAGCTGTCCTACCACCTCGCCATCAGAGCCCACCCCCTTGGGAATCTTGACACAGGTTTAGTTTTTTTTTTTTTTTTTTTTTACTAGCTATCTCTTTGAGAACTAGTCTTACCCTGGTTGCGATTGCCTACGTGCTTTGCATGCATTAGGCACTCAATAAATGCTACATATACTCAGCTTATCATCCATTATTCAGTCTTTCTGGGTCTCAGTTTTCTCTCTGTGAAATAAAGGTATTGGCAAATGATTGCTTAGATAGCTTCCAGTTTTAACACGCTGTGAATCTCTTTAGATAGGTATTTAAATGATCTCCCATCTGCAATGCTGTTTCTTAGCAACAGAACAGTGTTTCCTTGGAATCCTTGCATGACCTCTTCAACCCATAAAGCCAGTTCTCACTGAGTCTGCAGCATTTTATTAAATGCATTCATATTTATATATTACCTTGTGATACATCTCAGGTTGCAATTTGGCTTTCATATGCATAGGTCCTGTGCTTACAATTACTCCCCAAACAAAATAATATATAACATGTGCCCAGTAAATACTTGCTGAGTAAGTAAATATCACATCAAAAATAATCATAATTTTGGGCTCTCCCTGGTGGCACAGTGGGTTAAAGCACAGCACTAAGAAGTTAAAGCCACTTCTTCATGAGTTTGATCCCCGCCTGTCCTGGAGGTGACCTACATGGCTCAGCAGACATCTCCTGACCCTCCCGCTGCTCCCCTCAGCAGTGTACTTTGTCAGTTGGCCTGATCTGCTCCCCACTCTGTCTATGGTGAATCCTCTCACCGCCCCTGCACCTCTGGCCTGTACCCCAGTTTTGTATGCTTAAATAAATAAATCTTTTAAAAAATGATCATAATTCCCTCTATCTAGAGGGAATTTTGGACTTAAGAGAAGCAAAAGAATCAAGGGTGAATTTCAACTTCGTGGCTTAGGAGACTTGGTGCTGATGATGCTGTTTATCAAGATAGGGGGTCCTATGAGTGGAACAGATTTGGAGGAAGGAAAAGAGGAAATGAATTTGGTGAAAAGCTGCATTCTGCATTCTACACTGCTTTCTTGGAGATTGTTAAAGAACCTTAGCCAAGTTACAATTCTGAGACATGAGATTTTGGCCAACGGAAGCTACTTTACTGTATATAGTGCAAAACTTCCAAAATGCATGTAGTTTTAGAAACACTGGTATTATACAAGAGAAGGAGAACTGGAAAAGAAGCTTGCAGAATAACTGGCTTTTAAGGAATGGCCAGAGAAATTTGGAAGGGAGCATTGAGAGAGGCAGGAGGAAGTTTCAACCCCCAGGCCTTAATACTGGCTTGGTGATACCACAGATGTAGAAAAAAATCAAGTGCCACTTTGCCCTGGAAAAAGGGAGGCCCTAGGGACATTTCTTGGATATTGCAAAGCACCTTGGATGGAAAAACACACTCAAGTTCCAATTTTCTACTCCCTTTTCATATAAATCACTCTTCTTGCTAAAAGGAAACCCATGCTATCACTCTCAACTTCAAACACCCAATAATAACTCAGCACTCATTCTCGTAACAATAATGAATCAGATCTTAAACTAGATCAATTGTAGGCAAAAACAATGCAAAATCTTAACAATATAAAATAATGTTCTCGGTCAGTTAGTTATTTTACTACTTATCATCTGGAACTCTCCTCAAACTTTCTTTAATATTTCATCTTAATCTCAACAGCATAATTAAAAAAAAAAGTTTCCCAAATGTTCAACAGAAAGGAAAATATGTCGACAAAGAAACTTGAATAGCAGCATTAAGTACTCATAATACTTAAAATTGAGAAATAGAAATAATCCAAATGCCCATCCACTGATGAATGGACTAACAAAATGGTATATCCATACAATGGAATATGATTCAACTGTGAAAAGGAATGAACTATTAATTTATACTACTCATGGATCTTTGAAAATATTATGCTAAGTGAGAGAAGCAGACACAAGAGGCTGCATATTGATTGATTGCAGTTATGTCAAATATCCAGAATAAGCCACCCATCTAGCCAGAAACTAGATTAGTGGTTGCTAGGGGCTGGAAGGAGGAAATACAGAGAAGTTGCTAGGATTTCATTTTGGGTGATAAAAATGTTCTACAATCAAATAGGGATAATAAAGTTATAACTGAGAATATACCAAAACTACTTTAAAAGAGTGATTTTTTTTGTGTGAATTGTTTCAATAAAGCTGTTATTTAAGAAAAAAGAAAAATGCAAGGAAGGTAAATACTTTTTTTCAAGACAAAGTGTTCACAAGTAATGAAGAATCCGTGTTTAGTGTTTATTAGTTCTTTGTTCCTCTAATGCTTTTTTGCCAGCATCTTACCTTCAAAGCTGTGTGCACTGGAGAAATAGCCAATCTAAAAACTCATTCTTTTTTTTTTCTAGAGTAATTTCAGTAATTTCAGCAAAATTAATTTATCTTTAATTGAGTTTCCCTTTTCTACTCGAAGTGCAAAACACAATTTAACTATTGGTTTCTGATGTGTTCATCCTCACAGCTTTGTTTTGATGTATGTATAATATCATGTAAGACATACTCATCTATATAGCTGATTTATACATTTCTTAGATCACCTTTCTAAAAGTCAGATTTAAGGTATAATTATATTCAGTGAAATCCACCCTTGAAAGATTTTCAATTTTATGAATTTTGCTGAATGTTTAGTCATGTAACTATCACTACACTTGAGAATTAGGCTATTTCATCCTCCCAAAATGTCCTCTTATATCCCTCATGCCTCTCTCCCCATATCTAGACCCTCCACTCCACCTGATTCTTGCCCCTGGGGGACTCTATACTCTTGTGTTTTATCCTGAGATAAAGCCCGCTTTGCATCTCCATAGTGTCCTGTCTGGTGGCACCTACAAGATGCTCAGTAAATGTGCTGAATAAATGAAAAAATTGCTTGGTTTTTAGATCTTGCTGAATCATATAGAAGACTCTCCTCTCTGATCTCCAGAATAGGATATTTGAAAAGGGGCAATGAGGAAAGCTTTCTCAGGGAGTTTCAATCTGCAGTATCTTGCAAAAAGGATTACAATGATTCCTAACTATGGTGATTTTGCTGAGAATAGTAAGCTCCTAGAGTTGGGGTTTGCTCAACCACCTGAAGAAACAGATGGATGTGGACTCAGGGACCAGAGGCACCTACTGCTCCCCTTGCCCACCTCCCTCCAGTTTGATCCCAACACCTCCACATGACAAGGCCCAGGATCTCACCCAGAGCATTCTGTAGTTTGTGAACAACGTCAGGGGTGGAATCTGACATCTGCGTGGGTTGGACTTCCTTTTCTTATCACACAAGGTGTGGTTCCATGAAAACTCACCTGCAGCTGGTATCAGTCAGGCTTCAGTTTCCTCAGTCCTTCTTGATCTGACTCTTCTCTTGATGTGAACCAGGAAATCACATTTCTCCCCCGCCAGACCAGTTATATGAAATATCTTTCTTGAAAGGTGTGGGTACAGTCCTCCAGGCTGGCATGGCCAGCCCCAAGCAGACCGCTTCTTGGGTGCTTTATGGGGGTTAGCCTTCCTTTCTTCTGCTCTCCCCCAAATGCCAAAGTTCAAACCAGCTCAGGGTCAGACTCTAAATGCCACATTACCTGCCTGGAGGGATTGCACCTTGCCTCTGAATTGAATTGCCTCACTTACCCTGGAGATTCCTTGGCAGCAGACTTTAAAACAGTGTTTATTTATTTATACATATGTTACATCATTGTTCATTTTTGGAAGCTTGATTTCTCCTCTCAGGTTTATGGGGACTACATCCAAGGGGAGCAGTTTTGATGAGGACAGCTAGTACAAGGAGAGAATGCAGGTGTAAACCTGTATCACACCTTTCAAGGTGTGAAGTCCTCTTGGAGGGGTGGGGTTCTGTTACATGTTGCCCCTCCTCCCTAAGCGGACACCACCCAAAAGATGTTAATTTTGGACATGGTTATAATCCCCTAGATAAGTCATTATTCAAGTGAAGGAAGCCAAAGAAATTCTTTCTATGGTCAGGATGGTGTGTGTGTGTGTGTGTGTGTGTGTGTAAGAGGGGGGAGAGGGAGGAGACAAGGTAGGAGTTGGGAGGAGAGGGGAAAAGGGACGAGGGGTAAGAAGAGGAGGAGGAGGGCTGGGTAGGGCTAAACTTCAGAAAAAGAAAAATAAGAGGAAGAAAAAAAGTAGAGGAAAGTTTATATGCAACTTGAGGAAATTCTTAAATTGACTGTCAAATTTCTGTCTTAGTACTACCATGACAGGAAATATATTTTATGTTATCTCCACAGGATGCACACACACACACACACTAATAATGAAAACCATGAAAAATAAAGAAGTCAGTAAAATTGTGTATCGCTATCTATAAGCGTAGGAAACTTGCTTCCTTAACACTCCGACACGTCTATATGAGGGCCGCTGGCACCTGTCGTCCAGGGCCTCAGTCCACCCGGAGGCGACATGGGCTCCCTGCGCAGGGGCGCCAGGTGACGCGTGCACCTGCCGGCAGGGCCCAGAGGTAGCCGCCCCGCGCGGGGGAGGAGGGCGGGCGGGGCTCGGCGGGGCGGGAGGGGCGTAAAGTCCCGGCCCGCAGGTCTCTGGGCTGCTGCTTCGGGACAGGACGCAGGATGGAGGCGGACACGGAGGACTGCGTGGCGGACTGGTGGGACATGGTGTGGAGGAACCTGCGGTGAGTGCTTCGCCCCGGGTGACGACCTGTTGCGGGGTGGGGGGCTGTAGGAGATGGGGCCCGGGAGGGCAGGGCCGGGCATGTGTGATCAGACCCGCTCTGTAGCACGGGCTCTTCCCACAGCTTTATCCTTGGTCAGTGAGACTTTAAGTCCCCTAGAAAGATGGTTCAGGTTCCACAGTAATCTGCCCTGACCATTTTGCTAGCATGTAGGACACGTTCAAAAAATACCAATAATGGTGGCAATAACAATTTCTGTTGCAATCTTGGATGACATCTTAGGTCAGGACCTATCTGTGTGGATGGACAAGAATCTGAGAGCCAGTTACCTGAATCTGAACTCTGGCATGCCTATAAAGAACTCACCTCCTGTGTCAAAGATACATATAGGACATTGTAAACATAGCTATCATTTCCTGTACCAGCTTCACTTCTGTTGCATTTTATTTTTGCATTTTATATTTAATCGAAGTGACATTCCATTATAATACATGTAAATTTCTGTTGTGCATCTTTGAAAATAAACATGCGTCTATTACATTAAGTTCCTGCTAAAAGTTCTGTCACCATTGTCCCCTTTTTCCTGACTTCCCCTCCCGCCATTCCCTCTAATAACCACTTATTTTCTTATAGTTCAAAAGTTTTAGTTTTTGTTTGTTCATCTTTGAGTTTGCTATACTACACATGAATGAAATGATCCTGTGTGTGTCTTACTTCCCTAAACATAATCCCCTCGAGGTGGTCCATCTGTGTTGTTGCAAATGCCTAGAGTTCACGTTTTCTTCTTTTTTAATATGTAGCTGAAGACTAGTCCATTGTGTGTAGATGCCACATCTTTATCCACAGATATTTAGATTGTTCGCAGTTCTTGTGCCAAATTCTTATATTGTTTAAATCTGAGAGGTCTGTGTAAGTGGGTTTTGCATTTCCTTCTCCCATTAATCCTTAGCTGAAACAGTAATAGTAAACTGTCTGAATAGGCCAGCAAAGCATTGCAATCAGTCTTTGTTGCATTGAGGACAGGTATCGGTTGGAAATCTTGAATGCAGGAAACTCAGTTACCTTGTTTTGTTTTGTTGGTGTGGGAAGGTATTGACATTTTTAAACCTGTTTCTTTTTATCTTTTTGTTTTCATATTTGCCGATTACAGAATATTCAAGAATCATATCTTGATATGGGAGACTCCATTTCAAAATGTCTGAGCGATGAAGACAAACTTTGACTTCTCTTCCAAGCTTTCATTAGCTCATGGCAGAGTGCAGAGAGTAACTCTACTCCCATCAGCACTGCAGACCCACAGGCCCTTCTGTGCTGGGTCTCAGCACCTGTCAGAACACCCCTATTGACAGAACCTTCCAAACTTCACATTCCTGGCCCTTATCTCACTGATGTGGTTGTTTTCAGAAAGCTGTTATTTATTGCCTTTCTCTTGTTTGTTTTCCTTAGAGTTGATGTCTGATTATTTAACACTTATTGGGTTGTAAGAGCATTTACTAAGGGGAGAATCAAAGATGCAGTTCACTCTGTTAGAGAACAACCCATTTTATTTGATAATGGCTAGGAAGACAAGGATTTGGGAAGCCCTATTATTTACCTTAGTAATTGGTAAGAAATAAATCTCAAGAGATGCTTTCTGAAAGAATAAAACACCAGCACATCAGTTTCTCTGAGCAGGAGGTTACTAGTGTAATTTAAGATATGCTAAGACTGAAGCACAGATACATAAGCAGCATCCTGAATCCTTTTTGTTTTTGGAAGCAGGTCACTTAGTGTACCTGGAACTACAACTGCACTAGGCCTATGTTGTGAGACTCAAGGAGAATGCTTAATTATGTAGCATTTTCAGGAATTACTTTTTATTGCTTTCAGGAGCTTTTTTTTTTTTTTAAGATTGATTTATTTATGCATACAGAACTGGGGTACAGGCAAAAGGTGCAAGGGCAGTGAGAGGATTCATCAGAGACAGAATGGGGAGCACAACAGGCAGATCAACAAAATACACTGCTAAGGGGAGCAGTGGGTTAGGAGAGGTCTGCCACGCCATGTGTGGGTCACACATGAGGCTGGGGATCAAACTTGCACTGAGCTTGAGCTTGCAGTGCTTTGTCCTAACCCGTTGCGCCATCAGGGAGGGCCCAGGGAAATTATTTTACAAACATTTAATTTTAAAATTTATTTTACCAAAATTTAATCAGATGTAGCTGCTGCATAAAGGTTGATGGGCCTGAGAGAGTAAAACTCCACTTGTAACTGGTTGGCTTCCTTTGGTGAAAAATTGCATATGTGCTTAGGACAAATACTGGGGGAAGCCACAGGGCTGGTTTCCCATTTCTTTCTCCCTATGTCACCCCAAGATTTTATAATTCTAAATAGTGCTTTAAAAACCCCTATAAGTGAGTTGGTAAATTTGTTCATTTCCCATCTAGTTGGTCATCTGCTCTCTGTTGGACATTAGTTTAGGCCCTGAGCAAACAGTGGTAAATAAAAACAGGCAAAAATGCTGGAAATTAATAGGGTTAATTTCTTATTGTACTCCTAATAAAAATTAATGAACTCCTTTCCCCTAAAGCTACCAATAAACCTACCTTCTCCCTTATGAGAGAAATACGTTTCCTTCAGTTCCCAACTTGCTGCTCAGCAAATATTTTTGGAGTCAGTCCTGTGTTAGAGAGATTGGAATGTGATAGAAGCATTATGTCATGTGGCCCTTGTCCTAGGAAAGACAGGACTGATAGTGGGAAAACAATTAAGAAACAATTAAAGGTCAAAATGAGGCTCTGGTTATAATTAGTAGGAGGGGTGGAAAGAGAGGAACGGTCACTACATCTGGAGAGACTCTGATCACGAAGAGACTGGAGTGGGTGTGCAGGAAGAGGACGGTTTGGCTGGGAGGAGAGAAGGCAAGAGACTCTAGATGGAGCTTGGTGTTTGGTAATAAGTGTGTATTCACGGAATAAATGGGCACACAGGAGGGGTGTGCAACAGCATGTCTTAATATTGGAACAGTTGTCCTGCCAAATGTTGATAGAGTTGGATGTCCCAAAGCTGCTACCTTCATACAAAAAGCTTGAATGATTCACCCAGTAGCAGCCCAGCCTTCAGCAGGTTTCACCAATGAAGATCATTCAGCGAGGTTCTCTGGCCCTTGTGGGATGCTGTCTCCTTGCAGCCAGGGCTGATCAAAGGACAAGCAAAAAAAAACATCCAGGCTTCCAGGGGGCTGTTTGATATGACTGGCCATTACTGCCGAGAAGGCTGCAACAGCATCCCCTGCTCAAATAAGGTCTATTAGCTGCTGGGGACTTTTGATCCTCCACTGATCTAGGGGAAGTTAATTGACAACCCCCTAGTTAAAAAAAGCCACGGTGCCTCATTGATGCTCTGAGGGGTCTGGACACCCTGGTCTCTTCCTACAACGCTTCTCACTGAGGAGCCTTGAGCTATTTCAGAGAAGGATCCTATATAAATTATTCTTTAAAAACAGAAGCATATTTTCCCTCTTTGCCTCTGCTTCCCAAGCACCCTGCTACCTTCAAAAGCTAACTTAGTGGGAGACTAACAGGCAGGGCAGAAAGAGTTCAGAGAGATGGAAGAAAGCAAGCAGGAGCCAGCCAATTGGAAGGAAGCAAAAAGAGTTGAGATTGTGTTCCATTCTGGGCTGGCTCTGTGGCTCAAAGTGGTTTCTCTGAGTTTTGATTCCTCTCTCTAAAAAGCAGAACAAAGATGTCTTTTCCTTCCTACCACCTTCATGAAGGTGACATTTAAAGCATCAGGAAACCATCATTTTTGTTTCCTTTTTGCACATGGTGTTAGTGGACATTTGGCCATATCTGACCTGTTGGAAGAACTATGCTTCTCATTGACCACACGTCCTCTGCTCCTTGCAGACTGCTGGAAATTAATCAGAGATTCATTATATTCTCCCTTATTGTCTTTTCCAAACATGTTTAAGCGCTGTGGTTTATTAACACTTGAAGCAGAACCAAATTTTGTAGTGCCCGTCCTGCTCTGTCCTGATTACATACTATGCTGTAAAGATTTTTAGTACAAGCCAAGTCTCCTGTGTTTTCTGGAATTAGACTCTGAAATTCCATTTGAAGAAAAAAACAAACCAAGACAACACCTGGACTCCTGTTGATTCCCTTGTTTGCTTCATAATGTCTTACAGATCTTTTCCACAGTCCTGTTCAATATTGGGAAGAAAAATTGCCACTCAGTACAACAGCTTTACTAGTAAATCACTAAAAGAACACATTGTCCCTCCTCTGATGAACATGCTAGTTTTTGTAGATTTTTGTAAGTATTTTTCTTTTATGAATTTACCTACATATAGATATATTTTATTCCCCCCCTCCCCCATATAAGGGATTGATTGCCCCATAGCTGTGATATAGTAGGAAAGTCAGCTATGGAATTGTGGCTAGAGCTGAATGTTTTGAAATTTATTTTATATAGGTTTTGAGGTCTAGCATGAATCCTTGCTAACTGTTGGAGGTAAGTAGAAAAACATGGTGTGTGGACAAGGTTTCCATCAGCCAGTCTTCTTCCATCAGCCAGTGAATTCTGTTTGCATACAGCACTCTCTGCTATTCCCTTCCTCTCTTACCTACTGAGAGAGACAGAGAGAGAGGAAAGAGGGGAGCAGATGAGGGAGGGGAGAGAGGAGAGGATGTATTTCCCCAAGTTTTTCCTGTGCATTTCTGCTGTGTCAATGTAACTGCTCTCTTATCTCCAGATGCATGTTGGTTACACCTGGCTAATAATTGTTTTTTTAAAAAGATTTATTTATTTATGCATACAGAACTGGGATACAGTAGGAAAAGTCGTGCTTGACTAAAGTGTCAGAACACACATGCCTAACTCTTAGGTCCTCTTACCTTTTGAGGGGAATTATCTCTGTCTTTAGCTAGTGACAAGAGTAAGGACTGAATCAACTCTATTTGGGCTACCACACGGAGGCCTTTTGAAAATCTAGCTATGTAATTTTTGATGGGGGAGAGGACACAATTGTCTTCTGTGGACTATTAAAAGGTTACAAAATAAAAATATTCTGTTAGGAGTTGAGCACAGTAGCTTGCCATTAGAAGCACGGTAATCCCGAGGCTAGCTTGCCTCTTTTCATTGTGGTTAAAAGACTTGGCATTTGATTCTGGGAGTTGATAATGATTTCTACTTTCCAGTTAAAGCACCATTTCTTGTGGATTTAAAGACACCGGAGCTGACGATGCCTCACACAGTGAACTTTTACATCAGATGTGAACCTAGGGTGATTCTGGGTATCTGGTGAGTGCAGAGATTGAACGCTGGCGATTGGACGCTGAGCCCGCTTATTGGATGTGTCTCTGAGGCCCCTAAATTGGCCCCCCAGAGTGGAGCTGTGCTGCTTGCACAGCTGTGGGGAGCTTGGTAGTCCTTGGGAACCCTGAAGCTGTTCCGCAGCCCCCTTTCCTTGATGTAGAGGTCTGATCTGTTTGATTTTGCTTTACAGGAATTCTTTTTTTGGTAAAGATTTATTTATTTCTGCATATAGAGCTGGAGTACAAGCCAGAGGTGCAGGGCGATGAGAGGCTTCACCAGAGATAGAGTGGGGAGCAGAACAGGCAGACTGATGAAGTGCGCTGGGAGCAGCGGGCTAGAAAGGAGAGGTCTGCCACGCCGTGTGGGTCACCTCTGGGGCCGGGATCGAACTCATCCTGAAGCGGCTGTGGCCAGCTTGCAGTGCTGCTTCCTAACCCATTGCGCCACCAGGGAGGGCCCTGGTGAACAGTCTTTTAGGAGTTGGGCTGTGCTTTGGGCTTTTCACCAGATAAGCAGTCCCTTCCCCTTCTCCTGTCATGCCATTTTCCACACCCTTTACGAAGCTCCTCCAGACCCACTGACCTTGCAAACCAAGCCACACCCTCAGTATGTGCTCTGTCGGCAACTTTTCTACCCTGCTTCCTCTGTTTGCTTTTTGCCTAACTCACTGCGCACTCATCTCTTGGTCTCAGGGTGCTTTTTCTCATGCCCCATTTTAGACATATGCTCACATGGAAAACTGTGCTCATTCCTTACAATGTTTCTTCCCACCGTAATTAAATAAATATGCACTTACTTAGTTATTATTTGCCATCTTTGCAAGATTATAGCTTCCATAGGTGAGAGACTTTGTTGGCAGAAGGGGGAGAAGAGGTTTATAGTTTAGCACAGTGCTTAGCACATAGCTCAGATGCAACCATGAGCATTCTTGCTATGCCAAGCTCCATATTTTCTTCTGTTTGGTTCTACTTATTTCTTTTTGGTTGTCAGTTTTCCAGGGCCTCTGTTTTATATTTTGTCTCCTTGAGTTTGTTTATTTAATCTAAGATTTGTTTATTTGCATGGAAGAACTGGGATAGGGGCCAGAGGTGTGGGGTGGGAGTGAGTGGATTCACATAGTGGGGAGCGGAACAGGCAGAGTAACTGAAATACACTGCTATGGGGAACAACCTGCGGGATAGGGGAGGTGTGCTGTGCCATGTGTGGGGCTGCAGCTGGAGTTTGAAGACGTTTTTATTCTTTGCTTTTCTTTTTGCTTTATTGGTCCTTAGTTTTGTGAGTTAACTTTGCTGATCTCCAGCTTCTCTAGCTGCCTGTCTTCTCAGTCCAGAAACTATGGGGTTTGGTGTTAGACTTTCTGTTTCCAATGACCGAGAAGGCTGAAGATTTCCATCAGGGGGTCAGTTGCCCAAGACCCTTTGTGACATGTCATGTGGCAACATTTGTATTTTCAGGGTTCACTTATTGCTTTAATAAGGTACTAGATCGAGCTCAGATATGTGTTTAGAAACTCAGGGTGTCACATGGCTTCTTGAGTAAAATAGTTTTATGTCTTTTTGCAGGTCTTTTCTCCTGTGTAAACTGACTTCTCTTTAAATTTTTTCCACTTGTCTTTTCACTCAAATCAGTAGCAGGTGAAAAAATATTTATTTTTTTTTTGTATGTTTCGAACCTAATGGACTGCACTTAAGAATGAAAAAGAAAGTGGAAAAAATTGAAACAGGAAGTGGTTGAAAGAGGCTGTCACTGGGCATGGGAGAGACAGATTAGGGTATAGTAGTTTTCATTAAAAGACATTTGAGGTATTATGTTTTCACTTTTACCATGTGTTTATATTACTCAGGTAAAAAGTATAAATATAGACTTTCATAGAAAATCTACATATATTTACATACTTATGTATTAATAAACTATTAAAACATAAAACATGATATAACATTATGTATAATATATCAAAATGTTATATATACTATGTTACTATATATACTAAGTATATAATAAAAAAGCTATAACAATTTATACTACATATAAAATGTATACATATAGACATCTGACTGACAGAAGGACCTTGGCAAGGACAGAGAATTCTCTTTGTATATATTTGTTAAAACCTGTCTTTATTCTTCAGGCACACTGTTCCCAGCTGCCGAGAGGAAGATGCTAAGGGGAAGGACCGTTGCTGGTATGAAGCTGCCCTACGTGATGGCAATCCAATTATTGTGTATCTTCACGGCAGTGCTGAACATAGGTCAGTACCTTTGCTTATGCATTTTTTCCCCCTTTTTTTAAAGATCTATTTATTTCTCCATACAGAACTGGTGTACAGGCCAGAAGTGCAGTGGGTAAGAGGCTTCACCAGAGACAGAGTGGGAAACAGAACAGACAGATAGACGAAGTACACTGCCGAGGGGAGCAGCTGGTGAGGCAGGAGAGGTCTGCCACGCCATGTGGGTCACCTCCGGAGCCAGGGATCGAACTTGCTCTGAAGTGGCTGTGGCTAGCCTGCAGTGCTGCGCACTAACCTGCTGTGCCACCAGGGAGGACCTTGTGCTTTTTTTTTTTTTTTTAAAAAGCGCATATTTCAACCCCGTGGGAGAGTGAAAGGCAGAACTTAGTTTTCAATTTTGTAGGGGTGCTTTTACTTATTTGTTTCCTTTTATTAAATCTGAGGGTGTTTGACTCTAGGCTTTTCTTTAAAAATCTATATATGCTAGATAGATCCTATATATTTTCTAGCTCTATATGGATTCTTAACTGGGAGACTGACTTTCAAAACAGCCATTCCATTTCATTTTTGCTCAGTGTTTTAAGCAAATGGAACTACTTATGTTTCAATTAGCTCATTCTACACCAAAAATAATAAGTACATACTTACTGCACACACACACGTAGGAGCATTGAAAATTAATTTCCAAAAAGGCAGTGGTTGCTCTGCCCCATCAGAGTCTAAAAGAGGGCTAGAATCCATGGATGTTTGGAGAGGGGATGGAGATGAGGTAGGGGAAAGAGAAACTCCCACATCAGCGGTCCTTTCACAGCATGACGCGGAGATTCATTTAGGATTGATTCTATTAACCGAAAGTGTGGACTCCTTAGAGAGAGAACCTGGACTTCTGAGCATAGGTACTGGGGACGGGCTGACTAATTCCCTCCCTGGCACACTCGGGCCTCAGCCCCAGTGTTGCTTGGTAATAGAACATCTATCTCCTGGAAGGCCGAGTCCTTTGATTGCTGCCAGGGCTGGAGTTGGCCTGCGTAATTGCAGCAGGCGATGATTATTATCACCATGACTATGACATTTCAGCTACAGGCAGAGCCATGTGCCGCAGACACTCACAGACCTCACCTGCTCCTGCAAGAACACTTTCAACTAAGCCCCCGGCTCTGGAGTCTGCCTCTTGGCTCCCTCACCTGTCTCTTTTTCTGTCAGATGATGATGGTTTCTTTCAGACTTCATTAGCTCCAGGGGCTTCCTGAGGCGTCCATTTTAGAATCTTATTGACAAATAGATTTCTTGTGAAATTCAACATCTTCCAACATTGTTTTGATTGTGCCAACCTTAGACATGGTGCTGGAATGTACTTATCAAAAGGACCAAGTGCATTTGTGTTTGTACCTCTGAGTGACTCTGCAGTTGTCCTCAGTTTATGATAGATTTATGGCCTCAGGTAGATTCCATCTATTTTCTGTTCCCTGCCCAGAAGTCTCAGCTTCTTCTCAGTGGCACTAACTAAAAAGGATGCCAAATTAGAGTTACAGGGGCTTGATAAAACAAGTGGTTTTAGACTTGGGGTTCATAGAAGTCCTAGGTTTGCAAGAGCCTATCTCTAAAATTATACATAAAATTTGAAGTATAAATCTATTTATCTGGGAAATGGGTCCAGAGCTTTAACCATGTATTCAGAGTGCTCCGTGACCCACTAAAGTTTAAGAAACTTAACTCCAAAAAGAATTCTCTGCCTTTTGAAACTTCTTTTTCTCCTTTATTAAGGTGGCTACCATAGAGAATAGATAATAAGATTATTTTGGGAAAACAATGTTTCTTAACCCTTTAGGACTGTGAGTTTTTCACTTCATCTTGCTCTTAACAGCAGAGTGGTTAGACTACAGCAGAACTTGGCTTGGTGAATTGGTTTGGTGTCATCCCTTATTCTGAAAAGCCATGCTCTGAAACTTATTTTCCTTTAGCTTCTAAAATTTTTCTTATCAATCAGTAAGTTTTACTGTGTAGAAGTGAAAGGAGATGGGTTACCGGTAACTCATCAAATGCTTCAGTTGAGAAGTACTAACGTTCTACCTGGGCATCAATGGGGACCCCTCCCCCTTCAACTCCACACAGCCATGTCAGTAGGCTCTGACATGGAAAAATAAAATGGAATTCCTTTTTCCTAGTTATTTATCTCTCTGACTTGAAAAAGAAAGATGTGAGATCAGACACCAGCATCATGCTGATGGTGTCTATCGAACGTAACTGTCATTGCTAATTCTTGCTCTCTTGTTTCTTTCACCTCTACAGGGCAGCTCCTCACAGACTTAAGCTAGTAAAGGTATGTTTGAAGAGACCTCAAGGCTCCAGCTTTATAAGTCCCTACTTACTCTGTTTTGGGCTTAGTGGTAAGATCCCCCTAGGCCTTCTGCTTGGTTACCTGCTGAGAGCACTCTAAGGCAGGCTGTGCGATCTGTGGCCCAGAGTTCCACGGTCAACTTCCCTCCCTAGACTGACCATGGCAGGTGAGGTGTGAACATCCCTGATGTCAAAAATATTTCATTAATTTATTACTTTCATAGATAAATGAGGACACTTTTATTGGCTTTCCTGAGTGCAGGAAGGTGGGCTGAAAGTGTATTAAGTGCAAGAGTACTCCTACAGAAAACAAGGTTTTGTGATGAGGGTTAAGAAGGCTGCTGTAAAAACTCATTCAGGCCCTGTCTTCATCCCAGGTGAGGTCTGGCAGAGTGGGATGATGGCCACACCTTGCTCTCCTCACTCACCTGTTAAGTGATTCCAGTTTGTTGGGGCAACCCCTGAATTTCCTAGTGTGATTCAATGGGCTGGGCAAGCCCTGTTTATCTTCATCCACACTCCAGTTAAGTAATCCCTGCCACAGGTGACAGGGCTGCTTTTATAATCACTTACCATGCAGCTTGTCCTTCCTCCCACATACAGCTTCCACCTCACAGCTCTTTTGTGATATGACATTACTAGTGGGGTCCAGAGTCCTGTCCCACCTAGTATCCCCAGGAGGTCTTCAGTCTTCCTCCCTGATTCTGACAGGAAGCTCCTCTCCTATCTCTTCTTCTCCCTCTCACGCTGCCTTCTCAGAGCCTGCCCTGAGATGCATGCAGTCTTACCTGGGATGATGCTGTCTGTTAACTTTAGGTTTACTTTTCCAACCAGCACGCATTCTTTGTACTTCCCATATGGGATGGTGGCAAAGCTGATGCCCATGAGAATGTATGTATATATTTGCCTGCTCCCATTCTTGGTAAAGCTGAATTGTTTGTCCCCTGTGTGTGCAGAAAGGGGAAGAGCTGTAGGTGTAGGTATGAAAAGTAGCCAGATAATGTGGTAGTTGGGATGGGTGGAGAGGATGGTAGGACTTCCTCCCCCAGGTAGACTCTGCATACCAAGTGCCACTGTCATCTTTTCCCAGCATCCTTAGTTACCAGTTTTCTCCTTTGGATAGGTAATTTCTTTTCAAAAATAAATTTTATTGTTAAATTTTTCAACCTTCTTTTCATGTTTCCTCCTTCTCTCACTTTCTTTCTCATTTATTCACTCATTTGTCACTTCAATCACTGATAGCTATTTTAATTTATTGTATTCTCACCTAGTCTTTATTTCTCTAAAGTTTCCATACTAATATGATTGCATCTATATAAAATTTTATCTTCTGCTCTTTTAATTACCATTTCATAATCATTTTTCCCCAGTTGCCACAGTTACCAACTTTAAGGCCAACTTTACCATTTATTTATAGATTACTGTTTACTTACTAAACTATTCCCCTACTATTAGATAGATGTTTTCCCGATACCCTCATCCCCAGTGAATTTTAAGTAGTATTGCTAAAGAAAACTAAACATTTAATTTACTCTTCTTTTGGAAAATTTTCTTAGAAATAAGTTCTAGGAGTAGGATCTGTTGTTGTTGTTCCTGAATTGTATTGTCTAGTGGACCTTCGAATTACAGTACTATGAACAGTCCATGAAGCATTTCCCTGGGTGCTTTATTGCCCTGTGTCTTGGACAACTTTTTTTTTTTTGAGAGAAAGTAGTTTAAGTAGACATTAAAAAAAAGTCTAGTTCCTTATTGTTAGTTAATTTTGTATCTAAAAGTTCCAGATGAGGTTCAACCACTCCATCTATCCTGCAGTAACGGAAGCACAGTGTTCAGACATAGACCCAGGTGTGAATTTTGGTTCTTTCACTAACCATTTAGGTGACCCTGAACAAGTTACTAAAACTTTGCCGGTCTCACAGTTTCTTTATCTGTAAAGTAATATCTACTTAGAGTAACTGCTGTGAGGATTAAATAGTGCCTGCATAGTAAATTTTGGTTTTCTTTTCTCGGGCTACTCTTGTAATGAATTTCATTTAATAGTATATAAAATATATCAATTTTAAAAAAGATCTATTTATTTACGCATACAGAACTAGGGTACAGGCCAGAGGTGCAGAGGAAGTGAGTGGACTCACCAGAGACAGAGTGGGGAGCAGAACAAGCAGATTAACCTAAATACTCTGTGGAGGGGAACAGCAGGCGGGTCAGGAGAGATCTGCCACACCATGTGGCTCACGACTGGGGTGGGGATCGAACTCATGCTGAAGTGGCTTTAGCTTTGTAGTGCTGTGCTTTAACCCACTGTGCCACCAAGGAGGGCCCTAAATTATATCAATTTAGTGGTGTATTTTAATATTTTTCCTTCATTTAACTACTCAGGACTTGGCAATGGTCTTATATAATTGGGTCATTTCTTTATTTTTTGATTGATATTAGCTCCTTTCTGTTCATATTTAACACAAAAACATCTTTGCATTTTTTTGTCTCTCCAACTCTGCAAAGAATTCTTATTCTCAAGAGACTTGAATAAATGTCTTAGAAAGACATTTACTATGTAATCAGATACAATAATAGGTCATCTTATGTAATCCTCCAGCAGTCCTCAAGGTAGCTCTTACTGTTTCTCACTTTTCAGAATAATATTTACATATTTAAACGTTAAGTGCTGTGCCTGAGGTCACATAGCTGCTAAGTGGCAATGCCACGTGTGACCCCAGCTGCTTGCTCTGCTCTCTGACTTCCATTGTTCCCCACTCAGTGTGTTCTTCTCAAGCTTGAAGCCAGACACCAGGCTTCAAAATTATGTCTTTTCTCCATGTGGAGCTGGAAGGGGTCATGCTTAGTGAAATAAGTCAGAAAGAAAAAGAAAAATACTGGAAGGCTTCACTCATAGCAGGAACGTAAAGGACCAGGGGGAAAAAAAAATAATAATGAACAACTATATATCAGAGACATTTTACAGGAGTGGAATGGGGAATAGGATCAAAAATGGGGGCCGGGAAAGTGTATTAGACTATGGTGATGGCACACGGGTGGTTTGGTGATGGGAAGCCCACGGGGAGTACAACTGAGATGGAAAAGGTACAAAATGATGTAAAAATAAACTATTACATTATTTTAAAAATTATAACTTTTCTCCATGAAATCACCACCACTAGGATTATGGATATGGTGAAAATGAGTGGACATTTTTTATTCCACCTTTTCTATTTATATCTTTCATTAAAGTGATAACAACTCTTGTCATGTAGGTGCTGAGTGATGGTGGTTTTCACGTCTTGTCTGTTGACTACAGAGGTATGTGTTAGGAACAGTGAGCAAAGATTTTTTGAGAAGCAGAAAGTTTTTGATGATCCCTTATTGTGGAGGAAGCAATAGTGTGTTTGTTTTTCCTTGTTGCCAGGGTTCGGTGACTCTACAGGTAGACCCACAGAAAGGGGTCTGACTACAGATGCTGTCTGCGTCTATGAGTGGACCAAGGCAAGAAGTGGTACCACACCCGTGTGTCTCTGGGGCCATTCTCTGGGTACAGGGTAAGTGGGGCCAGTAGGAGATGGGATTTGGGGTTTTGTGAAGATCAAAGGCAGCAGGGAGTGATGGAAGGAGTGCTGAGCTAGGAGGCAGGGACTTTACTTGGTGTTTCTCACATCCCACGTTTGGCTAGAGACCTCGCCATCTCTATGCCTGTCTGTAAAATAAGGGAGGGTCCATTCAATTCTGTGGTTATCATTGACACCAGAGCCCATTCCAGAACATTCCTTGAGAGTTTTTTTTTTAAGATTTATTTATTTATGCATAGAGAACTGGGGTACAGGCCAGAGGTGAGGGGGTGGTGAGAGGATTCACCATAGTCAGAGTGGGGAGCAAACAGGCAGATTGAGGAAGTACACTGCTAAGGGGCTTTAGCTTTTTAGTGCTGTGCTTTAACCCACTGTGCCACCAGGGAAGGCCCATTCCTTGAGACATTTGAAAGAAAGGATTTTTAATTCAGGGCCAGTGTAACCCTTTGAAATCCTATTCAAAATTTTGTGTCTGTGTGTTTTGTAATCAGAGGAGCTAGTGATTCTATCAGACGCTTGTTCTGTCTGCTGCATATCGTATGATATACTGGATTGCTGAGTCACTGTTTCACATGTATACTAATCTTTATTGTTTTGCAGAGTTGCTACAAATGCTGCCAAAGTACTAGAAGAGAAAGGTACTATATGATGCTTACATGGTAAAGTTTATTGTCTTGAGGTGAGAAAAGAATGACAGTTTAAACATTGAGCTACCTAAAGCAGTCCGACTTCAGATAGCTTTTGATAATGTGACAAACTTTCTTTTTGTCTCTAATCTATAGGAATAGCTACTTTTTAAGGTTTGAAATAGAAAATAATATTAAAGGGTTAAAATTACCTTCGAACCAACCCTTACCATGAAATGCTTTTATGAGAGCTGGCCTGTTGCTAGTTCACCATGATTCCCAAGGCATTGTACTTCCAGGTGACAACACAAAACCTGAGAAGCTTGCTGGAACCTCCTCCTTTTTCAGAGCATAAGTTCTCAATTGTGTCCTTTTGGTCCCGTGAGAAGTTCTGTGTTGTCTAACTTAAGTAAGCCTTGGGGACATACCTGTTACTTTCAAAGCTTCAGTGACTTTGAAGAGAAAGGAGACTAGAAATCTCTTGGCTCTTTTGTTTTGGTAATAATGCTGCAAAACCTCACGGATTTAGTAGCTCTCAAATGCCTTCAAACAGGTACTTGCACACACACATGTACACACATATCTCCTTCCAACCCACATTTTCTACTTGTTCTCAGTGGGATTGTGGGCTAAAAGCTAGCCGGCTCCTGGCTCCTGGCCTGCAGAACCCTCTCCCTTTGTAGTACATTGCTACCTTAAATTATCCATATCATGGAAATCTGATTGCATTTTAGAAGAAGATAGTGGTCTTCAACTGTAATGTGAATAGAAATCTCTTGGGTGGGAGAAGCTTGTTGAAAACACACATTCTCAGCCTTCCACCTCCTAAAATTCAGACTTCTGACTCATTATGTCTGTGTGGGGTTCAGGAATTTGCATTCTTAATAAACATCACAAATGATTTTGATGCAGATAATTCGTGTCCTTGAGGTCCTCTTATTTAGGAAAAATGGTAAATGTTATAAAGGGATTATTTTTATTTTCAAGGATTTCCAGTGGATGCTATTGTCTTGGAAGCTCCATTTACTAACATGTGGGTTGAAACTATCAATTATCCTTTGTTAAAGGTGAGTCTCTGATCCACCTTCAACAGATGACAGTATATAAGCTCATAACATGTGTGTTTATTAACCATATTCTCTTTCTTAGGGTTATGTTTCTAAATTATTATAATCTGGGATTAACCTGAAATAGGTTGAAAGCTGCTATTAAGTGGGGATACAAGGGCTTTGGATTTGTTAGTCCTTTTATTTTAATAGATTGAGTGGCATATTAAGAGCCAAAGCTTTTCATCCCCATTCGCAGTATTTCTTATTTTGTAACTTTGTATTTCATCAGACTTAGTTTTGATTATTACAATTATTCTTTTTTTTTTTTTTTTTTAAAGATTTATTTATTCATACAGAACTGGGGTACAGGCCAGAGGCTCGGGGCGGTGAGAGGCTTCCCCAGAGACAGAGTGGGGAGCAGAACAGGCAGATTGACGAAGTACACTGCTGAGGGGAGCAGCGGGCGGGTCAGGAGAGGTCTGGCTCGCCATGTGGTCTCCTCCGGGGCAGGCGGCAGGCGGGAATCGAACTCATGCGGAAGTGGCTTCAGATTCTCAGTGCTGTGCTTTAACCCGCTGCGCCACCAGGGAGGGCCACAATTATTCTTTTTTAAAGTAAAGAAAAAAATACCTTTCATACATCATTTTTAGTTTTATGAAAGTCAGCCATACAGCTTTCATACATTTTCATGATTAAAAAAAAAAAGATTTATTTATTTATTCATTCAGAACTGGGGAATAGGCCAGAGGTGCAAGGGGGTGAGAGGATTCATTAGAGATAAAGTGGGGAGCAGAACAGGCAAATCGATGAAGTACACTGCTGAGGGGAGCAACAGGCAAGACAGGAGAGGTCTGCTGCACCATGTGAGTCACTTCCAGGGCTGAGGATCGAACTCACACTGAAGTAGCTGCTGCTAGCTTGCAGTGTTGCGTCTTAACCCACTGTACCACCAGGGAGGGCCCATTTTCATGATTTTATGTTAGGAAAGTTCCTAGAGAATTCAAGGATGCTGCCAAATAATTTTACTGAGTACTCCAGGATGAGAAGGTAATTTTTCCAAGAAGTTAAAGAATTGGGCCACAAGATGTAGTTTTAAGAGTGTTATAGAGGTTTTTTGTTTTTTGTTTTTTTAAGATTTTATTTATTTATGCATACAGAACTGGGGTGACAAGCCAGAGGTGCAGGGGCAGTGAGAGGATTCATTAGAGACAGGATGGGGAGCAGAACAGGTAGATCAATGAAGTACACTGCTGAGGGAGCAGCGGGTGGGTCAGGAGAGGACTGCTGCTCCCTGTGAATCACCTCCAGGGCAGAGGATAGCACTTGCACTGAAGTGGCCACCGCCGGCTTCGCTAACTTGGCAGTGCTGCGTTCCAACCTGCTGCACCACCAGGGAGGGCCTAGAGATTATCTTAATGTTTGTCATACCTCCATGTAAATATTGATATGTATGTTTGTGTGAAAGAGAGAAAAAGATGGAAATATTTATTTATTTATATATAGATAGATATGGATTTTTTTTTTAGATGGAATTTTAGTGGAATTCTTAAAGGAATATGAAGGGGGATAGATGGTCTGAATTTTTAAGTTGTTGTTTAATGTTGGAAGATATCTTAGGGGGTACTAATTTAATTCAACAATCTACTTCTGCAATCTTTTGTCAGTAAATTATCATATAACTTTTTGGAATTTGTTAAACTATTTCAGGGAAAGATAGGTCATTATTCCCTGGGACAAATAGTTCACAGAATATAATCTTAAAAATACCTGTATTATCTAAGCTCCAACTCAACACAGGAATCCCCTTAACAATTTAAGATACCCAAATACTGAATAATTTAAGATTTAGTAAGTGAAATATTTTCAATCGGTTCCAAACAATTGCATATTCATTTAAGTTAGTAATTAATGGAATACTTTATGTATAATAGTAACCATTTATATTCTGTAGGTAATTACTAAAAATATTGCTAATTTCTAGGTATGTAAGATGAATGACTTGCAAATATCTCTTCCCACTGGATAGGTTGCATTTTCATTTAGATTATGGTTGCTTTTTTTGTGCAGGAACATTTTTTTTTTAATTTATCTATTTATTCGTACAGAACTGGGGTACAGGCCAGAGATGCAGAGGGTGAGAGGCTTCACCAGAGACAGAGTGGGGAGCAGAACAGGCAGGTCGACGAAGTACACTGCGGAGGGGAGCAGCGGGCTGGTCAGGAGAGGTCTGCCACGCCATGTGGTCACCTCTGGGGCAGGCGGGAATCGAATTCATGCGGACGCGGCTTTAGATTCTCAGTGCTGTGCTTTAACCCGCTGCACCACCAGGGAGGGCCTGTGCAGGAACATTTTTAGTTTGTTGTTTATTTTATTTTAGTTGATTGTGCATTTTTGCGCTTGTTCCCCTTATCTTCAGAGTCACATTCCCCTAAGGCCAGGTTAAAGAGCTTAGCACCTATGCATTTTATGACTTTAGGTCTTACATCTAAACATTTAACATATTTTGAATGCATTTTTGGGTACAGAATAGAGCAGTGGTCTCATTTAATTTTTTGCATGTTGGTGTCCATTTCCCCAACATATATATTGATGAGTCTTTCTTTTCTCTATTGATCTTGGCACCATTGTATAAATTAATTCTCCATATATGTGTGGGTTTATTTCTGGACTCTTAATTCTGTTCCTTTGACCTGTGTGTCTGTTCCAGACCATGCTGTTTTGATTACTATAGTTTTGTAGTATAGTGTGAAGTTAGGGGACCATGAATCTTTGTTTTTAATATTGTTTGCATTATGTATCCCTTGAATTTCAACTGGTTCTGAATTCTTACATTTAATGTATGCTTCTTGTAAGCAGCAAATATTTGGAATTTGATTTTTTTCCCACTGTATGACAGACTTTGTTAATCATAGTAGTCTGTTTGCATCTAATGTAATCATGATATATTTAGGTTTCAATCTGCTCTCTTACTGTGTTCTTTTCCATTTGTGCCATATATTCTATGTTCTGTTGTTTCTATATTTTTGCTTTTCTGTCTTGACAGCTGTGTCTAAAGGAGAGATTTGGCATTAAATATCAATTTCATCTGTCAGAAAACCTTAGTTTAATAGGCATTTTGATGGTCTGGAAGTGCAGCAGTCTTATAGTATGATCATAGATCTGATGTCAGAGTTTGTGAATTTAATTTTCAAGGCCTATACTTAAGAGCTGTGGAATCTTGCACTAATTGCTTTAAAGCTTTAACTGCTTCATCTAAAATGGAGTAATAGTCTATTCAAGATAATTGTGACAATTAAATAGGTAATATATGAAAAGCATATACTATACCGCATGCAAAGAATAAGCATTCAATGGCCATGACCTAATTTTTATCAGTGGAGTGCCAGAACTCTGAGCAGATACCAGTAATAATAAGAATGTGTAGATGATGCGAGACAGGAACATGTAGTAAAAGGCATGGGTCCTGCCCCAAGAAGATTCCTGTCTAGTTGGGGAGATAAGAAACTAATGGGGGATATAAATCAATGACAGGGATTTACACCTCTCACTTTGGAATCATTTGAATCAATTTTGCTATCCAGAATACAAAGGTAACGTAGTGAAAAAAGTGCATGAGCTATGGTACAAAACATATTTGGGTTCAAATGTGACTTCTGCTACTAGCTGATTATAGCCTTTGGGAGTTTCTTCCCTTCTCTGAGTTTTCCAGTTGTTTATAATGGGATTGATACTACCTATTGCATTCAGTTGTTACACTAACTCAAGTAAAATAATCTGTGTACAGTTGCTAACAGGTCCTCAACAAATGTGCTTCCTTTTCCCACTCTTTTTATTATAAAGTATACTAAGGTAAGTGTAAGGGCACGACCCAGAAGAATAATTTCAGGGTAGGGAGAATTCCGAGAAGAGAGGTCTTACATGCAGTTCTGGTCAATGAAGATTTACATAGTGATAGATTCCTTCCTGACTTGAAGGTGAGGGAAAGCAGTTAGGAAATAGAGAGGAGGAATATGAGCACGGCTCCTGTTTGCCATGGGGTCATTATGTTATAAAATGCCTGAATCATATAGGGCTTTCATAGAAGGTCTTTTGACACTGAACTTAAATACTAAAACCACTCTGAGTTTGGTTGGCATCTTTGCTTCACATAGAGCTGAAGGAAATTGAAACTTGGTGCATTGCGCAATCACCACACACCTGTAAGAAGAGGAAATGGGATTCAACCCCATGTCTTCTAACTCTAGGCAGACAGCTTGGGGATGAGCAGCCTTTGGAATGAAAGATTGTGACAGATGTGGCTGGGCTTGTGGCTGAATTAGGAGATTTATTATTATTTTATATTTCTTGTTCTTCTTTTTTATAAGTTTATTTTTACATAATTATGTACATTTTTTTTCATCTCAATTGTAATTCCCGTGGGTTTCCCATCACCAAGTCACCCATGTGCCATCACTGTAGTCCAGTGCACTTCCCTCCCCCCACCGTTTTGATCCCATTCCCCACTGGAGTAGTTTTATTTTATTTTTTTTTTAAGATTTATTTATTTGTG